CATTGGTAGGCTATGTCTCTTCAAGTATATTGGTTAAAGGTTGGGTGTCATATGAAGAGCAGAAAGCAATTCTATTCAGAAAAAAAAAAAAATCGTTATAACTTTATTGAAAACAGTGGGAAAAAGTCATGAAAAATGCATTGTATGCTGTGTTTAACCAGTGCTACAAGTTAGAAAAATAACCACAGCAATAATACAGCAATGTTACTATATCTGTCCTCTCAAACAAACAGATTATGTATAATATATATATATATAAATATATATATATATATATATATGTTTGTTGCCGCTAGCAGAGAAGTATACCCTGATAGCACACGTACATCACAGAGATGCCTATTTGACGTCTGCATTTACATATGCAAGACATGTTTTTTAGAGTGTTTGCTGATCTGCAATATGTCTATAGGACGTTTCCTGTCAGATGTCAAATAGACGTTTAGAAGATGTCTTTAAGATGTTTATGATTTAGAGTGTATGTAAAACTGACATCTTATAGACATCTATCAGATGTTTGTACACAGCAGATGCTTTCCAGATGAAGCGATCTTTAACAAACATCTTGCAGACGTATGTGTGCTATCTGGGTAATTACATTCTGCATCTTTAATATCTAAATAAACTGTTCAAAACAATTACAGTATCATCTCTCTTATTGTCCACTGACATCCATGTACTGGATTGTAAAAGTTAAAAGACTCGCGGGTGTCTCTTTCGATGCTGAAGGGAGTGCATCAAGAACTGATGGCTCCTAGATATCATCCAATCAGTTCCTGATGCAGTATCACCAACATCAGAAAGTTCTCACAGATCAGAAGTTCTCATAGGTTTTGGATGGATGGACTGTAGTTAGGGATGGGTGAACAAGTCTGTGAGTTAATGTTATGAATGAATAACAAACACTTTAAACATTTAAATCTCAGCCTTGCCACAGATTTCAGCGTAATTCTATTATTCTTGGACTTCTTTTCCACAGGTTGCTCTCTTTTATCCGATGGAGACCAATGTTATTTTGTCATGGTGTGCGGGTGCTGTGTGTGACTGAACCCCAGCAGCGCCTGTGAGAGGGGTGACACACTACTCACAGTTGCCAGCTGAGATTATGCCAAAAATCAGCCTCACAATACCAGAGTCCAGACCAGATGTTCGCGTCCCAGAGATGGTAACACATTACGAACTACTTTAGCACCTCGGTACAATATAAGATGCGCATTTGATCATCCTGGAGTAACTGAAGCGGTTATTGCAAAACAACAGATTAGCAATTTAGCATTGAGATTAGCACAGATGTAGGCTACTTAAGTAAAAGTCAGGTTCAGGTGCAGCTGAGGTAGTTTTGTCTCAGGTTTTGGGTGTAAACAGACTACTCAACCCCTACAAGTCATTGTGAGACTGTAATCACATCACAGTTGCCTGCAGAGATTACCCAGTCGGTCCATCTCACCGTTAGCTGTTTGTTGTAATGCTAGTCAAAAACAAAGAAGTTGGTTTGAGCATCAGTGGTTCTCAAATGGTGGGTTATGACCCAAAAATGGGTCGCAGTTAAATTTTTATCACATGTGGCACAGAAAAACAATGCTAAATGCAAAATACATTTGCTTATCAACTTTTAGGGAGTTAAAAAAAAAAAA